ATGGGCAATTTGTACTCTTAAGGGTGAACATTGCGAGACTTTCTGTGCTTCTCTATATGCCAGTAATGCAACTAAACCTGGCCATCACATGAGGCATGCAAGGTGGGGATGAAGCCTGCTTGCACCGTCCTTCCTATTGCACCCACATAATATGGCCAGTGAATAGTCCCTTGCTGTGCTAGCTAATCCCCTTGTCCAGCCATGCAGTTATCCAGGCTAGAGGTAGCAAAGGACAAGTTCTTCTTTTGATTACACCAATGGTAATCCAGGGAAACCCCAATGAAGTCAGCTGAGTTACTCCAGATTTACACTAGGTTAAGCGACAGCACAGTTGGGGCCCTACTCTGCAATTTACACAGGAGCCAAAGAACTAATCCCAAATGATATTGTGACAGGCCGGGTGAGAGACTGATAGTCATACTAAGGCCTTTTAGAGCCCAATTAATGCAAACAACTCCCCTTGAAGTACATTGAACGGCATGTTTACAACAGACAAAGTGATCAGACCCTAAGCCCTGGTCTACACCATAGATTTATGTCGGTGTAACTGCGTCGCTCAGGGGCATGGAAAATCCACACCCCTGAGCAACACAGTTATATAGGCCAAACTCCCAGTGTAGACAGAGCTATAGTGACAGGAGGGCTTCTCCCATCAATATAGCTACCACCTCTTGGGGATTTCTCCTGTCAGCATAGGCGCCGACTCCGTGGGTGCACCGGGGCTAGAGCACCCATTGGAAAAAAATAGTGGCTTTGGGAGAGGGCGGAGTGAGGGCAGGAAGAGGCGGGGTGAGGGCAGGGCCTTGGGGGAGGAGGCAGAGCAGGGGTGGAGTACCCCTGGGGAAAAATAAAAGTCAGCGCCTGTGCCTGTCGGCATTTGTAGTATCTTTACTCAGCGCTGCCGTGGCACAGCTGCACCTGTGTAAGTGCAGACAAGCCCAAAGAGTTTAAATTAAGAGCTTCAAAAGAGGCTCCCATGGCCCAGTTTCTTAAAAGGGCTCCCATGCACTGTACAATTTCTAGTGCAGACAGCTCAGAGCACTTCTCTCTTATAGTGCATTGGGAGGATGCCCTAATTCACTGCAGCTGGCCTCAGCCTGGTTTCCCTCATGGATAGGGCCTGACGGTTCCTGCACTACAAACTTTTGTCTGCTCGGGAGAGAGAAATAACCATCGCCCTGTTGATTTCTGGATACCTCCTCACAGAAACATTCATTGGGACCCAGCTATGGGTTAAAAAAAAATAAATAAAGGACAGTAAGCTAATGTCTTGTGCATGGATTAAACAGGGATTCATCCTATGACCTGGAAGGAAAGGAGAGTGAGAAGCGTCAGTGCTTCTGGACTTCTGGAAAAGCCTTCTGGAATTTAATGGGCATGAAACTAATAGAGGGCTAGAGAAATGTAATGGAGCCTTATAGAATTTAATAGCAAATGAGACTCTCTCTGTAGATTTTAAAACCAGCCCAGCAGAATGTTAAGCACGTATCCCTGCTGTAGAATTCTGTGGCTTGGTTCGATCACTTTTCTTTAGAATGTGTATTCTTTACTAAACTCCACAGGCCTTTCCCACATGGGATACCTCTGTGCTCAAGGTAACTGCTCAAGATCAGAACACTTTAGATGAGTCTGAGGCTGTCACTCTAGCAATAACCTTGTGAACATAAAGAGTCAGATCCTCAGCTGGCGTAAATTGATGTAGTTTCTCTGGCACCAATGGAGTTACATTGACTTACATCAGCTGAGGATCTGGCCCAAGAAGTGCTATTATAATGAATTCAGAGAACCAGCCTGGATCTGCTATCAGCTATTTCAGGACTCACTTATTTTAGAAGCTATAATGAGGCTTGTATTGATCTCAGCTGCATTAGAACCATGGGTAATCTCATCAAAATATTAAAATGCATTCTCTCCAGCCAGCTAGTGGTGATGTTCCCACAGTACAATGCACTAGGCTGTGACCATGGAGGGGGAAGGAAGCTTATGAAAGCACTTGGGCTTCCAAGAAACATTATGTCATACACAATGAGAGAAACACTCAGTAAGTACCATCAATAAATACTGACCAAGCCTCCTCTCTACTAGTGAGATGTCTTTGTATCATAGCTGGGATGAGAGAGTGAGTCAGAGGGTCAAATGCAGGGGGGATGTAGAGGATGTAAATTACATATTGTGACAAAGCTCTGTCCTTTCCTCCGTGGGTCCCACGTTTCCTGGCAGATTTCGCTAGCCTCAGAGGCTCACGTTGACCCTCCACGTAACCCTTCTCTCTCTAGAGACAAGGGTCACAGTCTACTGAGCCATTTTCATCATAAGCCAGCAAGGGAAGTGAGGAGAAGTTATCCTTCCTTGCACGGTCTCTGTTGTCTCCCAGTCTCAGTGATTAATCAGGGGGCAAAGGTGGGGGGGGGGGGAGCCTGGGCCCACCCTCTACTCCGGGCTCCAGCCCAGGGACCCTAATAGTACCAGCTATGGTAGCTGACCTTTTACATGTACAATTCCCTGGGCTACTTCCCCCACAGCAGCTCTCACTGCCTCAAGCTCCACTTCACCCTTACCTCAGGGCCTCCTTCCTTGTGCCTGATATGGTGTGTACTCTTCAGTCTCTCCAACAGCACAACTTCCTCCCACAGCTCCTGACATCCACACCAATCTGACTGACTGGGAGGCTTTTAACTAGTTTCAGGTGTCCCAATCAAGCTAGCATTCTCCCTGCCCTCTGGAAAGTTCTTAATTGGCCCCAGGTGTCTTAATTGACCTGGAGCAGCTGCCATTTCACTTATCCTGGTACCAGGGATTTGTTTAGCCTGGAGCTAATATATCTCCCACTACTTTTCTATAGCCAGCTGGCCTTGCCCTGTCACAATATGGATTAGAGAGAGTAAAAACTGTTGCAATTTAGTGTAATTTACACATCAAGGGGATGGAAAGGTGGATCTGTAGCTGCAAAACTACAAAGGTAAGAAGGAATTCTGCTGACAGTTATATTGGTATAAATCTGGAGTAATTCAGTCGATGTCAGGGATTCCACATTTAGCTGAGAGCAGAATTTGACTGTGTGTCGGGTGGAGGGCAGGCTCTTTTATCTGGCACCTTCTTACATCCTACTGTTGACTGCAACAGCCCTGCCCCTTCTAGTTTTAATTCTTCACCTCCTTGAAGCTTGTGAAGTCCCTTAAACCTGCAAGAAGTGGGTGTAAACTGATATCAGATCAGATCTTCCATCTCCTTTGCACAAGTGTAACTGATTGCACAAAGTACAAGAAAGTGGAGAATCAAGCTCTTAGTCTGTAATTTGCCCCAGTTTACACCCTCATTTTCGTACCTTGCTGTGATTTAAGCTATGTCACGTCTGAATTTGCTCCAAGAGCAAGATAATTTTTGTGGCTCATCTAATCCAGTCTCCTACATGGCAACAGGAATGACTTCATCATCCTTAAACCACCTCTTTAAAGCAATGGTCTGCAACCTTTTTATGTACAAGATCACTTTTTGAATTTAAGTACAACCCAGGATCTACCCCACCCTTTCCATGAGGCCCCACCCCACTCACTCCATCCCCCCTCCCTCCATTGCTTGCTCTCCCCCACCCTCACTCACTTTCACTGTGCTGGAGCAGGGGGTTGGGGTGCGTCAGGGGGTGCGGGCTCTGGACTGGGGCTGAGGGGTTCAGAGTGTGGGAGGGGGCTCCGGGCTGAGACTGGGGCCAGGGAGTTGGGGTGCAGGATGTAGTGGGGGTGCAAGCTGTGGGAGGGAGTTTGGGTGCAGGAGGGGGCTCTGGGCTGGGGAAGAGTGTTGGGGTGTGGGGAGGAGGTTTGGGGTACAGGAGTGGGTATGGGATGTTGGCTCTGGGAGGGGGCTCAGGACTGGGGCAGGGGATTGGAGTTGGGGTACGGGAGGGGGTTCAGGGTGTGGGAGGGGGTACTGGGAGCTGGCTCTGGGAAGGGGCTCAGAGCTGGGGGTAGGCGTTTGGGGGGTGCAGACTTCCGCCAGGCAGCACTTATTTACCTCAGGCGGCTCCCAGTTGGCAGCACAGTGGGGCTAAATAAAGTAGGTTCCCTGCCTGCCCCAGCCCCATGCTACTTCCAGATGCTGCCATCATGCCCCTGCAGCCCCTGGCAGGGGGCAGCACATGGCTCCGCATGCTGCCCCTCTCTGCAGACTCCACCCCCACAACTCCCATGGGCCCACTGGAGATTAAATTTAACAGCTCAGCAGTGAAATCTTGACTGCCTTGAAATCAATGCGAGCTTTTCCAGTGACTTCATTGGGACCCCAGATCCTGGGGTATGGTACATTCCTATCTTTGTCATGCCCCTGGACATAGGTGCTAGAACTAGGGGTGCTGAGGGTGCTGCTGTACCCGCTGCCTTGAAGTGTTTTCCATTATATACAGGGTTTACAGTTTGGTTCAATGGCTATGAGCACCCCTACAATAAAAACTTCCCCTGGATTTAGTTTAGCAGTGACTTTTGAAAAAAAAAAAAACCTTCAAAAACAGACTCCAATGAGAAACTGCAGAATTGGAATTAATTTGCAAACTGGACACCATCAAATTAGGCCTGAATAAAGACTGGGAGTGGATGGGTCACTACAAAAAGTAATCTCCCCCTGCTGATACTCACACCTTCTTGTCAACTGTTTGAAATGGGCCACTTTGTTTACATTGGCCTCATTAGCACTACACAAGTGATTTCCACCCCTTCTTTTCAACTGTTGAGAATAGCCCACTTCCACCTTAATTGAACTGGCTCTTTAGCACTGACCCTCCCGCCCCACTTAGTAAGGCAACTCCCATCTTTTCATATGCTGTGTATTTATACCTCCCTACTGTATGTTCCACTCCATGCATCTGATGAAGTGGGTTTTAGCCCACGAAAGCTTATGCCCAAATAAATTTGTTAGCCTCTAAGGTGTCACCAGGACACCTTGTTGTTTTTGCTGATACAGACTAACATGGCTACCACTCTGAAACATGATAATTATTGTTTTCCTTAAAGCCCCAGCTCCTGGAGTCAGGTGGATATGGGATGATTTCAGCCTTCATTCTTAAAGAAAAAGTAAGTTTCTAGCCCTTGTGACTGTGGCAAAAGCTTCAAAATGTGACCCCAGTAAAGCCTAAAGGCTCAAAAAGCGGAAGGCCACCTCAAAAAACACCAAATCTATTATTTTTAAATAATCTCATTATTTTTAAGCCAATCTCATGATTTTTCATGAGCCTGACTTATGACTTTTGAACATTTGGGGTTGACAATACTGCGAAAGTAACTTGAAATTGTCAGTCTCACTCCTGTTTAAGGTCAGTTTCTAGTCTATTATTTGCAGTATGGTAACACCCCTAGAGCCCCAGGCAGGTGCAGTATAAACTCATGGGGCCTTCACCTAAATAGGATGTTTTCAAAAGTTGAATGATCTATTCCATGCTTCGTGAACTGCAGAAAGTAAGTAGCCTAAATGATAGAAAGCAATCTAGACTTTTCTACAACTGTTTCAATTGTTGTATTCAAGAATAAGACTATGAACTAAAATTTTAAACCTAACTGGGTGTCCCTTAAGTGACTTGACACAAGATGTCAGAACATGTTACTATTAGAGCTGAGTGGGTCTAATATTTATTTAATTTTCTTTCTTTATATAAGAATTAGATACAGTGCTCCTGTCAGCTAATTTCTAAGTTATTATCTGCAAAAAAAAAAAACCCTAGAGTTTTCAGGTGCCTAAGTAGCCCCTGGAATCACAATTAAAGTTGCTCCCCGCCACACACAATCTGAAATGGTGCCTCTGGCTCCTCTCATTGTCTGCTGGGGGACATGGAGGGGATTGGTGAAGGAGAAGTTGTGTTGGGGGTAGATAGGAGTGTCCGACACACACAGCACTCCAGTGAATTGTTGGCTGGCAGAGTATATAGAATCATAGAATCTCAGGGTAGGAAGGGACCTCAGGAGGTCATCTAGTCCCACCCCCTGCTCAAAGCAGGACCAATCCCCAAGTTTTGCCCCAGACCCCTAAATGGCCCCCACAAGGATTGAACGCACACCCCTGGGTTTAGGAGGCCAATGCTCAAACCACTGAGCTATCCCTCCCCCTGAGTCATCCAGGTGGCAGTCCCAGGCTTGGGAAACTGCTTTCTGTCCATGACAGTGCCAGAATTGAGGGAGCAGAAATGTGGCTTAAAACTATTCTTCCTCTCCACTCTGCTGTACTGTGCATAAACTCAGCCCAGTCCAAGGTTTGGCCCTGTGCCGCTAAGGGTCAGAGTAGAATGGTTAGATTTCAGCCTTTCTTCCATCTCACTTTTCTATCTTTCTCTCTCTTTCTTGCTCTCTCTCACTTGCACATGTTTTAGTTCTCTAAATTGCTGAGGATGTGTTGGAGAACAGCTGTGTTTATTAGGAGCTAACAGAGCCCAATTTTTTCTCCTTTGCATGCTCTTGTGGTGGCATTGATCTGACCTATATTTCGAGAATATATTGGCATGGCTACGTTTGATGCCTTAAATGTTGTTATTACACCTCTGTAGTTCTAACTGCAGGGCCATTCCCTGACTCAACTGCTACAAAATAAAATCTAGATTCTGAAGCCTGCTTCTTAACCCTGCTGTTGGGGAGTTCAGGCAATCAGTTTCCCCTCACTACCCCTTCATGCATGCTAGGGACCCCTTCCACATTCGTTATCTTCCATATCATGATCATGTCCCCACTGGTGTTTCTTCTTTCTAAACAGTCCTCGTCTCTTCATGCCTGTAATCATTTTCATTTCCCTCTTCTGAGTCCCTTCTATTTCTGCTATGTGCTGACTGAAATGAACACAGTTTTCCAGGAGAGGGCATCCCATTGATTCATAGAACAGGTTGTTTTCTATTAGAGCCTTGCAAATAATGGATTTTTTCAGTTCACTGGTAATTCTGAACAGTTACCAAAAAGAAATGTTCAGGTCCACACAAAATGTTTGTATTGATTGAGTATTTTTTGTTTGTAATTTTTTTAAAATGTGAAGTAAACATTGAAGCAAAAAGTTGTCGCTGACCAAAGAATTTAAATGTTTCGTTTCAATTTTTTGAATGTGTCCAGTATGGCAAAAAAGACACGAATTCACCAAATGTTTCCATGTTGCCAAATCTCATTCTGTCGCCAAAAGAAGATTTAGCTGACAAATGTCAGCCAGCTCTATTCTCTCTCCCTTACTTAATATGTCCAAATGATTCGCTTCTTTGCCCCCTGCTTGTGAATTAAGCAGAGGTTTAGACTGAGCTGCCCAGTTTTTTCTTGAGTGGTTACAGTTAACTGAGAACTCATCAGTGCATACGAGTAGGTCAGTTTGGTCCTTCCAGTGTACAAGACTTTGCACTTGTCTACACTGACCTTGAGCTGTATGGCACATTCCTTCCCACCTCTATTAATTCAATTGAAAAAAGTCCAATAGCTCCATTGGCGCAGGTTAAAACCCTTGGCTCACTGGCTTGGAGCTGTTTAGATCTGGCTGCTGACTGGATGGAAGGGACTTTGCCTTTGAGGAAACCTCCGACAAGGATCTCATGGCTTGTGATGAAGAGCATGGTGGAAAGGAAAATGGCAGGAGGAGGGAGGAAGGCTAACTATTTTGTGGAGGTTACTTTACCAGAGGATGGAACATCACTAGCTTGTTCTGTTGGGTTCAACAGGCTTAGATTATTCTGTTGGGTCTATCAGGAAGGTTCCTCTTCTCCTCTGCATCTGGTTAGGTGTTTGGAACCATCTCTTTCTGATGTGGAATACCTCTCAGCAAGCTGTGCCTTTGTCCCTTCTAACTGGGCTCTCCATTGGGCTACTTGTGGTGTGTTGGAAACTGGTACAAATGACAAGCCATCTCTTTAACTGTGAGGACCTTCCAGGACTTGTTATAGACAAGGGCACTCTGAGGGAAGACGTGATCTGGGTTGTCCGAGTCAGTCAGCAGAAAGTCTGGATGGATCCAGCTTAAAGCAAGGTGGGGTGAGTTGTCTCTCTGCTTTAGGGAGCAGACTCTTTCCTCTGTCTCTCTGTTTTTGGATTCTTATATATTATCATTCTGACTTCTAAGAAAGAAAGTAGTCTTACGCTGCAACCATCCAGCAAGAGTATTTATGTCTTTTATCTAACTTCTCTGAGTGTGTACACTGTGAACATAACTCTTGGAACCAGCTGGAAGCCACAGCTGGTGCAGAATGAATTGGCCCATCTGTCAGGCAGCGATAGCCAATGGAGACCTGTTAGCCCAGTTCAACAACTGCACTGGCATTGATTTTGATTTGTAATTCACTATAAGGCATGGGCCTTGGCTGCCTGTGAAGCTTTCTCATTCCCTGCTCCAGGCCTCTCGGGGAGCCTTGGAAATATTTTGAAAAGTTTGAAATAAAATGTGGTTTCAACTTTTTCAAAGTAAAATTTCAGAATTCCTTTTCCACAGGAAATTTTGTCTTTAGTTCTGTTTCAGAACAATTTCTTCTTTTGATTTCAGAATTTCACAGTTTTCAGACAGTTCTAATTTTAACCCTTTGGCTATAGGCCTCTCCTCAGACCCTGTGAGTGGGATACAGCCATTGCAATGAATTGGGATGCTATCGCTCATCTGGCATGTTCAGCGGGCTCATTCTGTCTGCATAGGCTTGGTGCATTCAGAAAAAACATCAGGTAGAAATCCTGACCCTGCTGAAGTCAATGGGAGTTTTGCCACCGATTTTGGTGGGGTAAGATTTCACACCGTGTGTCTTCTACCTTGAGGTTGCTTTTCAGCAGTACATCAGGCATGTTCTGCTGTGATTCAGCAGCATGGCGTGTGGGTATTCTAGCTGGATCTTGCTGGTACATGTGGCAGCAGCCAAGTGTTAAAGACATAATGTTACCACACAAGGAGGATTCCTTGGTTTCAAGTGGTGAGGTCTGTAATGGGCTAATGCTACAGTAAGAAGACTTGTTTATGCACCTTTGGTTCAAGATTTGAAAGGACAGTGGAAGTGATGGTAGAGATGGAGGCATACCAGCCCATTCTCTAAGACAACCATAGTGAAACACAACTTTGCAATAAGAAGACAATGGCATGTGCCAAGAAGCAGAGAGTAATTTAATTACTTCTGTAGATGTCATAAATACAAGGGATGATTTATCCTCGTTCCCTCCTGGGGGTATTGGACAGGAAGGAATTTACCTGAAACCATTGAGAAAGAAGAAATGAAAAGAAAATTACAAAACAAAAGAAGAGAATAGAGACTGCTTCAACTATTATTGATTCTTATTTGTCCTGGGGTAATGCCTAAAGGCCCTATTAAAAATCAAGGCCCATTGTGTTAAGTACTGTGCACACATGTGTTACAAAGTTGATTCTTGCCCCAAAGAGTTTATAATCTAAGTAAGAGACAATGAGCCACATTGTCCCCTGAATTTTGACTGCTTAGGCCAAGGATTAGTTTGGCCTACTGCATTACATAGGAGACTGCATCTCGTGGAAAGGTGTCTTGTAGTGGACTCAGAGAGACCTGCATCAAATGATGCATCACTACACAGGTCCCAGAACTCTCACATAGTGACTCCAATGTGTTTAGGTCAGAGAGCACATAGCACACTGGGGTGCTGTTCCTTGACTGGGGCCTTAGGAATTACTAAATACAAATAATAACACAATTCCAGTGAAGAATCCGTGGCTTCCCCCTAAAGTCCTGTGAAGCTGAAGCTGATCAGCAGCAGGTTCTTCACTGATATCTCTCAAGAAGACATTTCCTTTATGTGTTCAAGCACGTCAAGAAGCTATAGCTCAATCTGTAGGAACATTCATGGAATGTGGAGGGAGGAGCATAGGTTGCAGGATGGAAGAGTTTGAAGGAGGCACCAGGAAGTCAGTTCATGTGCACATAGCATGCTGGCTGCAGTTGCAGCATCTCTGTAAATAGGTCTCTTAATAAAGAGCCCAGTTTAGTTTTAGAAACATGGAGTCTTCTCATGTTGTTACCCAGCATACAGTACATGAAACCCAATCCAACTCCCATTCAGGTCTACAGAAAGGCTCCCACTGAAATCAGTGGGAGTTCGATCAGGCCCTGTATACAGTAGTGGACCTTAAATTGAAAACCTTTTTGGAAAGTCTTTAGAATTTAACAGGGATGTAATCAGTGGGATTCTATAGAAATGTATTGGGTTCTATGAAGTGACAATGACAAAAGAAAGGATGCTAAAAAATTGAAGAGAAGAATGATTTGAGGACTGGAAGACATCCCATAGAGAGAGACTTAAGTCTCTCAGTCTCTTTAGTTTATCAAAGGCTAAGAGATGGCTTGATCACAATCTATCCCCTGGTCTACACTAGGACTTTAGGTCGAATTTAGCAGCGTTAAATCGATGTAAACCTGCACCCGTCCACACAAAGAAGCCCTTTATTTCGACTTAAAGGGCTCTTAAAATCGATTTCCTTACTCCACCCCTGACAAGTGGATTAGCGCTTAAATCGACCTTGCCGGCTCGAATTTGGGGTACTGTGGACACAATTCGATGGTATTGGCCTCTGGGAGCTATCCCAGAGTGCTCCATTGTGACCGCTCTGGACAGCACTCTCAACTCAGATGCACTGGCCAGGTAGACAGGAAAAGAACCGCGAACGTTTAAATCTCATTTCCTGTTTGGCCAGCGTGGCAAGCTGCAGGTGACCATGCAGAGCTCATCAGCACAGGTGACCATGATGGAGTCCCAGAATCGCAAAAGAGCTCCAGCATATACCGAACGGGAGGTACGGGATCTGATCGCTGTTTGGGGAGAGGAATCCGTGCTATCAGAGCTCCGTTCCAGTTTTCGAAATGCCAAAACCTTTGTCAAAATCTCCCAGGGCATGAAGGACAGAGGCCATAACAGGGACCCGAAGCAGTGCCGCGTGAAACTGAAGGAGCTGAGGCAAGCCTACCAGAAAACCAGAGAGGCGAACGGCCGCTCCGGGTCAGAGCCCCAAACATGCCGCTTCTATGATGAGCTGCATGCCATTTTAGGGGGTTCAGCCACCACTACCCCAGCCGTGTTGTTTGACTCCTTCAATGGAGATGGAGGCAATACGGAAGCAGGTTTTGGGGACGAAGAAGATGATAGCTCACAGCAAGCAAGCGGAGAAACCGGTTTTCCTGACAACCAGGAACTGTTTCTCACCCTGGACCTGGAGCCAGTACCCCCCGAACCCACCCAAGGTTGCCTCCTGGACCCAGCAGGAGGAGAAGGGACCTCTGGTGAGTGTACCTTTTAAAATACTATACATGGTTTAAAAGGAAGCATGTGAAAGGATTACTTTGCCCTGGCATTTGCGGTTCTCCTAGATGTAGTCCTAAAGCCTTTGCAAAAGGTTTCTGGGGAGGGCAGCCTTATTGCGTCCTTCATGGTAGGACACTTTACCACTCCAGGCCAGTAACACGTACTCGGGAATCATTGTAGAACAAAGCATTGCAGTGTATGTTTGCTGGCATTCAAACAACATCCGTTCTTTATCTCTCTATGTTATCCTCAGGAGAGTGAGATATAATTCATGGTCACCTGGTTGAAATAGAGTGCTTTTCTTCAGGGGACACTCAGAGGAGCCCATTCCTGCTGGGCTGTTTGCCTGTGGCTAAACAGAAATGTTCCTCCGCGGTTAGCCACAGGGAGGGGGGAAGGTTGAGGGGGTAGCCACGTGGTGGGGGGAGGCAAAATGCGACCTTGTAACGAAAGCACATGTGCTATGTATGTAATGTTAACAGCAAGGATTACCCTGAAAGAGTGTAGCCACTGTTTTATAAAATGTGTCTTTTTAAATACTGCTGTCCCTTTTTTTTCTCCACCAGCTGCATGTGTTTCAATGATCACAGGATCTTCTCCTTCCCAGAGGCTAGTGAAGCTTAGAAAGAAAAAAAAAAGCACTCGCGATGAAATGTTCTCCGAGCTCATGCTGTCCTCCCACACCGACAGAGCACAGACGAATGCATGGAGGCAAATAATGTCAGAGTGCAGAAAAGCACAAAATGACCGGGAGGAGAGGTGGCGAGCTGAAGAGAGTAAGTGGCAGGCTGAAGAGAGTAAGTGGCGGGCTGAAGAGAGGGCTGAAGCTCAAATGTGGCGGCGGCGTGATGAGAGGAGGCAGGATTCAATGCTGAGGCTGCTGCAGGACCAAACCAGTATGCTCCAGTGTATGGTTGAGCTGCAGCAAAGGCAGCTGGAGCACAGACTGCCACTGCAGCCCCTCTGTAACCAACCGCCCTCCTCCCCAAGTTCCATAGCCTCCACACCCAGACGCCCAAGAACGCGGTGGGGGGGCCTCCGGCCAACCAGCCTCTCCACCACAGAGGATTGCCCAAAAAAAAAGAAGGCTGTCATTCAATAAATTTTAAAGTTGTAAACTTTTAAAGTGCTGTGCTTAAAGTGCTGTGTGGCATTTTCCTTCCCTCCTCCACCACCCCTCCTGGGCTACCTTGGTAGTCATCCCCCTATTTGTGTGATGAATGAATAAAGAATGCATGAATGTGAAGCAACAATGACTTTATTGCCTCTGCAAGCGGTGATTGAAGGGAGGAGGGGCGGGTGGTTAGTTTACAGGGAAGTAGAGTGAACCAAGGGGCGGGGGGTTTCATCAAGGAGAAACAAACAGAACTTTCACACCGTAGCCTGGCCAGTCATGAAACTGATTTTCAAAGCTTCTCTGATGCGTACCGCGCCCTCCTGTGCTCTTCTAACCGCCCTGGTGTCTGGCTGCGCGTAACCAGCAGCCAGGCGATTTGCCTCAACCTCCCACCCTGCCATAAACGTCTCCCCCTTACTCTCACAGATATTGTGGAGCACACAGCAAGCAGTAATAACAGTGGGAATATTGGTTTCACTGAGGTCTAAGCGAGTCAGTAAACTGCGCCAGCGCGCCTTTAAACGTCCAAATGCACATTCTACCACCATTCTGCACTTGCTCAGCCTGTAGTTGAACAGCTCCTGACTACTGTCCAGGCTGCCTGTGTACGGCTTCATGAGCCATGGCATTAAGGGGTAGGCTGGGTCCCCAAGGATACGTATAGGCATTTCAACATCCCCAACAGTTATTTTCTGGTCTGGGAATAAAGTCCCTTCCTGCAGCTTTTGAAACAGACCAGAGTTCCTGAAGATGCGAGCGTCATGTACCTTTCCCAGCCATCCCACGTTGATGTTGGTGAAACGTCCCTTGTGATCCACCAGAGCTTGCAGCACTATCGAAAAGTACCCCTTGCGGTTTATGTACTCGGCGGCTTGGTGCTCCGGTGCCAAGATAGGGATATGGGTTCCGTCTATGGCCCCACCACAGTTAGGGAATCCCATTGCAGCAAAGCCATCCACTATGACCTGCACATTTCCCAGGGTCACTACCCTTGATATCAGCAGATCTTTGATTGCGTGGGCTACTTGCATCACAGCAGCCCCCACAGTAGATTTGCCCACTCCAAATTGATTCCCAACTGACCGGTAGCTGTCTGGCGTTGCAAGCTTCCACAGGGCTATCGCCACTCGCTTCTCAACTGTGAGGGCTGCTCTCATCTTGGTATTCATGCGCCTCAGGGCCGGGGAAAGCAAGTCACAAAGTTCCATGAAAGTGCCCGTACGCATGCGAAAGTTTCGCAGCCACTGGGAATCGTCCCAGACCTGCAACACTATGCGGTCCCACTAGTCTGTGCTTGTTTCCCGAGCCCAGAATCGGCGTTCCACAGCATGAACCTGCCCCATTAGCACCATGATGCATGCATTGGCAGGGCCCATGCTTTCAGAGAAATCTGTGTCCATGTCCTGATCACTCACGTGACCGCGCTGACGTCGCCTCCTCGCCCGGTATTGCTTTGCCAGGTTCTGGTGCTGCATATACTGCTGGATAATGCGTGTGGTGTTTAATGTGCTCCTAATTGCCAAAGTGAGCTGAGCGGCCTCCATGCTTGCCTTGGTATGGCATCCACACAGAAAAAAGGCGCGGAACGATTGTCTGCCGTTGCTCTGACGGAGGGAGGGGCGACTGATGACACGGCTTACAGGGTTGGCTTCAGGGAGCTAAAATCAACAAAGAGGGTGTCTTTACATCAAGGAGTATTTCAGGCAGGACTTCACGGAGGATTCCAATAAGAAATGGTGCACCTAAGTTATTGTTCTTATTGGAACAAGGAGGTTAGCCTGGCCTCTGATTGATACATGGCTAGATTTACCTCGCTGCATCTTCTCTGTGAGTGACTGCAGTGTGATCTAGAGGAATGAGTCCCCTAGACAGGGGAGGAGGCAAATGAGTACAAAACAAATCTGGTCTATTTCTTGTTTTGATCCACTCCATCTATCTTTTACATCTTTGGCTGGCAGCAGACGGTGCAGAAGGACTGCATGCCATCCACATCTCATGGCTGCTCGGCAGAAGATGGTACAGTACGACTGCTAGCCATCCTCATCTCTTGCCTGCCTGGAGAAGATGGTACAATATGACTGCTAGCAATCCTCATCTCTTTGGGCAGAAGATGGTACAGTACGACTGCTAGCAATCCATATCGCCTGCCTGCTCACCATAAGACGGTTCAATAGGACTGACTGCAGGACTAAAGAGAATGACCTGGTCAAGTCACTCCAAATTTAGTCCCTGCGCCCATGTCTGCCCAGGCGCTCCCAGCCGACGTGGCCAGGAGCACCTTGGACACGACGAGGACGACTACCAGTCATACTGCACCGTCTGCTGCCAGAAGGCAATGGGTTGCTGCTACTGTGTAGCAAAGCCGTACCGCGTCTGCCAGCACCCAGGAGACATAGGGTGACGGTTACCTGAGCGGGCTCCATGCTTGCCGTGGTATGGCGTCTGCACAGGTAACTCAGGAAAAAAGGCGCAAAACGATTGTCTGCCCTTGCTTTCACGGAGGGAGGGAGGGAACGGGGGCCTGACGATACGTACCCAGAACCACCCGCGACAATGTTTTAGTCCCATCAGAGTGCTCCATTGTGACTGCTCTGGACAGCACTCTCAGATGCCCGATTGTTTGCTGTTGCTCTGACGCAGGGAGGGGCGACTGAGGACATGGCTTACAGGGTTGGCTTCAGGGAGCTAAAATCAACAAAGGGGGTGTCTTTACATCAAGGAGTATTTCAGGCAGGACTTCACGGAGGGTTCCAATAAGAAATGGTGCACCTAAGTTATCGTTCTTATTGGAACAAGAAGGTTAGCCTGGCCTCTGATTGATACATGGCTAGATTTACCTCGCTGTACCTTCTCTGTGAGTGACTGCAGTGTGACCTAGAAGAATGAATCCCCTAGACTGGGGAGGAGGGGAAGCAAATGAATACAGAACAAATCTGGTCTATTTCTTGTTTTGATCCACTCCATCTATCTTTTACATCTTTGGCTGGCAGCAGACGGTGCAGAAGGACTGCATGCCATCCACATCTCATGGCTGCTCGGCAGAAGATGGTACAGTACGACTGCTAGCCATCCTCATCTCTTGCCTGCCTGGCAGAAGATGGTACAGTATGACTGCTAGCAATCCGTATCGCCTGCCTGCTCACCATAAGACAGTTCAATAGGACTGACTGCAGGACTAAAGAGAGTGACCTGGTCAAGTCACTCTAAATTAAGTCCCTGCGCCCATGTCTGTCCAGGCGCTCCCAGCTGACGTGGCCAGGAGCACCTCGGACATGACGATGACGGCTACCAGTCGTACTGTACCGTCTGCTGCCACAAGGCAAGGGGTTGCTGCTACTGTGTAGCAAAGCCGTACCGCGTCTGCCAGCACCCAGGAGACATAGGGTGACGGTTACCTGAGTGGGCTCCATGCTTGCCGTGGTATGGCGTCTGCACAGGAAAAAAGGTGCAAAACGATTGTCTGCCCTTGCTTTCACGGAGGGAGGGAGGGAAGGGGGGCCTGACGATATGTACCCAGAACCACCCGCGACAATGTTTTAGCCCCATCAGGCATTGGGATCTCAACCCAGAATTCCAATGGGCAGCGGAGACTGCGGGAACTGTGGGATAGCCACCCACAGTGCAACGCTCCGGAAGTCGACTCTAGCCTCGGTACTGTGGAAGCGCTCCACCGAGTTAATGCACTTAGAGCATTTTCTGTGGGGACACACACACTCGAATATATAAAACCGATTTCTAAAAAACCGACTTCTATAAATTCGACCTTATTCCGTAGTGTAGACATACCCTATAAGTACTTACACAAGGAGCAGATAGATATCTGATACTAAAGGGCTCTTTAATTTAGCTGGCAAAGGCATAACAAGATCCAATGGCTAGAATTTGAAGCTAGGCAACTTCAGTTAGCCCCACGCTTTTAGCAGTCTTTCTCAAGAGATGCTTTAGCTCAAACAGAAGTTAATGAGGTGGATGCAGGTATCAAAGGGTGAAATTCTATGCTATGGTACATGTTATAAATGAGGTCAGATTAAATAACCAGAATGGTCCATTCTGGCCTTAACATCTAGAAATCTATGAAAAAATACTCAACTTATTCTACAGAAAACGAGAGCGTTTCTATAGCGTGTGGGTAGGTGGGTAGGTTTTTTGTTTTTTGTTTTAACTGTACAATAGAACTCTATGGCAGGGAAACAAATCCATGTTAAAAACTACAGGACGGTTCAAAATCTATAGAAATGTTGTCATTTTCTACTTAGTTCTATAACTATGGCCCTGATCCTGCCAACATTTAAGCACATGCTTCTTTGATGATTAAGGTGGAGCACTATGGATAGATGAGGCAGGAAGTGGGAAGAGAACAGAATATATGAAAGTTGAGGTCTGCTGTAGAAGAAGAGTGTCCTAAAGGTTGGACAGCTGGTTCTAGTTTCTTCTTGTGGCGGAGATGAAACTCTTGAAAACCGTGATGGATTTTTTTTTCAACAAAAACAATTTTCCATTCAGTTTCACTTAACATAAAATTTGAATGTTATTTCTTAGGGCTTGTCTTCACTATGGGGGTAAATTAGCCTAAGTTATGCTACTCCAGCAATGTCAATAACATAGCTGGAGTCGACATAACTTAGGTCGACTTACCCCGGTGTCTTCACTTTGCTGTGTTGATGGGAGATGCTCTCCAGTTGACTTCCCTTACTCTTCTCGGAGACCTGGAGTACCGGGGTCGACCGGAGAGCGCTCTGCCGTCGATTTAGCGGGTCTTCACTAGACCCGCTAAATCAATCCCTGCTGCATTGATTGCAGCACCGTCGATCTCCCCATAGTGAAGACCAGCCCTAAATAGCCAATTATCATTGTTAATAAAAATCCCAGTGAATTATTTTTATTATAAATGTTAATAGCAAAATAACATTACCAGCAATGTTTTAGTTTTCTGTTAATTATTACACTATCATAAATATGTACAGTTTGCTTATAAGACAAACACATTCTTTCTGAAAGATACCCTATAG